ATTAGGAGTTTGAGTCTCTTCATCATCCTTAGGATTAGATCCTCCTTTAGCATGTTCCACATTTTCTTGAACAACATTTCCAAGGCCTGCAGTAAGTCCTTAATCTGAGTCTTGTGACCCAATAACTTTTTTCCAAAGCATGTTTTTCGAGGCATTGATGAACCTTAGAGACAATATTTCAGAAAACAAAAAGAAATGAAAGTAGCAGCAGTAGGGTCGCACCAAGTGTGCCATCAATGGTTCGCATTGTGGAACAATTATGTAACAGCTTGAGCGTGTCAGGTATTAAGTCAACCAATTACATGAGAAATTGTGTCACATGAACTCCTAATCTGAGGACTAAATGAGTTTGGCTCCACGATAAATGCTTCACCGACTGCTAGAAATAAATTGATAGTGCTTGAAAAATAAAGATTATAGAAAGTTTCATAAAATAAAGAGATTGCTTAAAGTCGAAATTGTTATATTGATAATGATTGAAATTGTAAAGAGAAATCAACACTATTTGGAAATAAAATTACAATAAACATAAAGAAATTCGTACTTAAGATTGAAATTTTCTTGAGAAATTGTAGTTGAGTGGTATTTGATTTTGATTTTTGAAGCTGATTGTTGGGGCTTTCCTTAGCATTTGAGCTTAGCTTTTATAAGTCACCGGGGGTTATTAAAATATCACATCCTCAACTGTTCAGGTGAACAATTGCTCAGGTAACTTCTCTTCACCATGAATCATGTGAGCCGTTGCTTTATCCTTTTGTTAAACCACCTCATGTTAACTCCAACGATATATATTTGGCTAATAATTAATTAATTAACTATGAGTCTCTAATATTTTACATGCCTATTAGTTAATTAAAGCTCAAGTTATTATTAAAACTACAATTTAAGCCTATGGTTAGTAAAAATTAAAATATGGTATAAACAATTACATTGTGAAAAGGATTTTGGTTGATGATGGTAGTACGGTTAACATCATGATGCTTAACATACTTAATCCATAAAATTAAAGATTGTTTGCACTTTAGCCAGGAAGAAAATATAAATTGAGATATATTGATGAAATTGGAAGATAAAACATATTTTAAAATTTCTAAAGTAAAATTTATAGTGGTAGACATTCATTCCCATACAAATTGATTCTAGAACATCTGACATTACTCAACCTAGGTGCTTGTACTTTGATCAGGCACTTATCGATGAAATTTTATGCTACTAATGATGTTGATATTGTGGTTATCAGCGATAATCAAAGAACAACTTACATGTTAGTATTGCAGGGAGCTAGTATCTCTTGGCCAATCATGCAAGCTATTACAATATTACTTGAATCAACCAATGAGACATGAACTCAATTTGATATGCTGAGGGAGAAAAGCAAACCTAACTCAGAGCTATCATATGAGTTAAAGGTTATAAAGGTAAAAGAACAAAAGATATTGTGTTGAGAATCTGGGCCCTACGAGTAATTAATCAAATCAAATTCAATTATATATTTATTATTTGGCTTATAATGAATTGGACTTACATTTAACACAAAATGAACTAAGCCATTTTAGTTGATTCACCCTTCACATTATATGCCTTTTAGTTAGTTGTATTTATCTAATGTGGGATTACCTACATACTCCAACACATTGAAGCTCTGACTTAAATTTCAATAATATGAGTCGCACTTGGTCATTATGATTATTATTAATAAGGATTAAAAACCAGGTTCTTTCACATAAAATATTTTGGGTCTTAGGATAAGAATGTAATTAGGTTAGTCAATTGGCTAGGGCTTAGAACCAGACCTAACTTATTAAGCTTTTCTTGGTTTTCTTTTTTTAGAAAAAACGATCTCTCTATTCTTTGTGCAGGAATATGCATTGCTCGAAGTTCAGAAATGCTCTAAATCGAGTATCCAGGCTAAATGCCTCCATCCGTATAATGATATTACATGTAATTATAATAATATTTGTTAGACCGCTAATTATAATTATAACCATATATAGTTTATCATCATTAATATAAAAGAAAATGCCATATCATTTATTTATTTGAAATAAATTATTAGCATTCATTTTTACAATTAATTATCAAGAAAGTAATAAAGTCTTAGATTTATTTTCATATGAAATGATATAGTGTAATTAAAGTAGTTAAAATACAAATTAAGCATATGATTAAAAATATAAAATAAAATTTATTCACAAGGAAAATTTGTGTTTGAACATTATTATGTATTATATATATAAACTGTGACAAAGAGAATGTTTAAGGCATTCTCTTTTTTTCAACTTTTTATTTTTCTTTTTTTAAAAATTTTTAGAATTTTATTTTATTTTTCTAAAATTTAATTTGACCATTTAAAATATTTTTTATATTTAAAACTTGATATCTATCGATAATGATTAAATATTTTAAAATTCAATCATATCTACCTATATCTAGATTTTATTTTATTTTTTTAAAATTTGATTGGACCATTTAGAATAACTTGACATTTATCGATAATGATTAAACATTTTAAATTCAATTATATCTATCTACACCTATACTTATCTATTAATTATAAATATCTATATTTCTTTAGTTTATTAATTATGTTTCAAATTCACATTTTACATTTCCAACAGCGGTATCTCTTTGTCCCTCTCGTTTTTATCTTTTTCACGTATTAATCTTCCATCCAAACCAATTCGCAGAGCTGGTAATGTGATGGATTTTAATCTAGAAGATTGATTGAACTGATATTACCTAAGAGCAGAGGGGATCATGTTCAAAAATCCTACCATCATCATAGATAAAGATCATGCATTTATATCTGATGAAATAAGATATAAAATTGTTGTTTGCAAGGTACTTATTTGGGTAATATTTTTATTTATCTATTTCTTTTTCTTTTTAATTTTTTGTTAGTAATTTATGCTTAAAACCTACGTTTAGGAATTGTTTTAATACCTGCTTAAAAAAAATATTATTAAGGGTCCTAATGGTCATTTCTTGAGAAACAGAAGAAATGTGGTCTAGTCTAGATAAAGAAAGTTCAGATATTGAATCCATGTTCAAGGTGTCTATGTTGTACTCTCAGATGAGGTTTAAAACTTACTCAAAATATTTATACTTTAATCTTATGAATTTTTTTTAATATTTAACTCAAAAGAATATGAATTTTTATTTTGTCTTTTTTGGTTCCTCTATTGCATTTGCTGTAATCAAAATTGCAGAGTCTGCATTGGTTTAAGCTTTGATTAATTTTTAACTTTACGATTATAAATTCATATGTCCATGCATTTTAAATCTTCTATCTATATATTTATTTTATTGCCATGTATATATAATTATTTTTAAATATTTATATTTATGTTTTATAAGATCTCAAATAATCAACTAATTTCTAAGTAAAAATAGGATTTAATTATAAGATTTCATCGATTTTACTTATAATACTTTCAACTGTTTTTTAGAAAAAATTACAGTACAATCTTTATAGTTTGAAAAATATAACTAGTATGTCTATGTCTTTTAAGAAATAAATTAAAATATTTTTATAGTTTACTTCCGTCAGACTACGAGGTCATTTTATCCAATTTTTACATTTTTTTCCTTTAATTACATTGTAAATACCTTTTTTTTTTATTTTTAAAACACAGGGACGAAATAATTGTATTTTTCAAATTATAGTGATTGTATTGTAATTTTTCTACTATAATATTTTACTCTCTTTCCTTTGACCTCTCTATTTTCTTATTGACATAATGGTAAAGATACAAAAATTGAACAGAAGGACCTAATAGGTTAATAGAAGCAAAATATAAAAATAACTTAAAATATTTTTTAAAAAATAGGGACGAACTAATTATATTTCACAAACCACAGAATTATAATATAATCTTTTCTGTTTTTTATTTTTGAAAATAATAATAAATTTTCAAATAATGTATAAACATACGCACGGGACGCGCAAGAGTATGACTAATTTTATTATAAGTCTGTAACAAAATTTAAATATATTTATTAACATAATAATTAATAATTTTTGAAATAATTATTAATAAATTTAATACTTAATAACAAAACGCAATAATAAGTATAATTAAATTTACAAACAAGCTTGTCTAGCACCTACTGAATGAACCAACTCATGAGCAAAACAAATGAAGCTGCTCATGAGCCTATTAAACGAGAAAACTTGTGAACTTATCAAACTGAGTTTTTTAACAAGATTGTTTGCGAGCTTATTAAATCAGTCAGCTTGCAATCTAATAAACGAGTTTATTCATGACCCTTATAAATAATATAATTCATGAATTTTATTAAGCTATGTTCAAACTTGATTTGTTAGGAGCCTAAAATTCTAGTAATGCTTGATTCGCTTACAAATCGAAATTGAATGAAACCAAATTTTTGTCGAACCCAATTCTAAGGAGTTAGCTTGGTTTCTAAAAAATAATTTAAGAATACAAAATTATTTTTTGAAATTAGAAGAATATAACTGTTAATTTGATTATAATTTAAAAATGTAAAATTATTTTATTCTAAAAAATAAAAGACAATAGATAGCTATATAATTATTTACCTAATACTCCAGGTATGGTAAGAAAGTTTTTTTTTGACATTTAGGTATGGTAAGAAAGTTACTCCAACTCCAAGAAAAAAAGCCATATATCATTGGGTGGCATTTCTGTGATTAAAGGAAACCACAGTGGCTTTCTTCTAATTACCCTGATATTTAGGCCGTCGGTGACGTGTCAAACATGGCCAGGAGAGGCAAGGCACGGCACAGCCATTCTCTCTTCTCTTTCCACATTACTCCACCTCGACTTACATACTTCTCGAAAACAAACACACCAAACTCCAATCTCTACCGTCTATTTTGTCCATGTCATCGATCCCCCTACACTCAATCCGATGGTCAAAATTCCTCGAATAATTAACTAGCCCCCACCCATTCTAACCCATTTCACCCCCTAACCCTAGCCCAGCGAAAGGAACGAGCCGTCCAGCCCACTAATTTCCATCCTCGAGTCCGGTCTAAGCCAATAGAAACGCAGAATATAAACAACCGAGAGAGAGAGAGAGAGAGAGAGAGAGAGAGAGCTTTCCTTGAATCGAATTGCAACTCGTGAGGAAGAGAGACTGTACGTCTGCAAAGGAACTAGGGTTTTAAACGGTTCAAAAAGATAGCTATTGATTCTTATTTCGATCCCTAAATTTAGGGTTTGGTCAAGTTAGGGTTAGGGTTGTTCGTTTCAGCAATTTCTTTCTTTCTAGTTCTTCTTCTTCATTTGCGCCATGAAATGAAAATACTTATTTCCGTTCTTAGCTTCAACAGTTTAGATTAAGAATCTGTTCTATTTATAGAGGGAGTTTTTATCATTTATATAAATAGATAGGAGATTTTAATTGGTTTGCAAGAGAGAGGGGTTTTTCTTTGATGGATGAGATCTGGGAACGGGCCGTGGAGACAGCTTTAGACGGGCAAACGGACCACGCGGCGGCTCGAACTCTAACCCTAGACGGAGCAGTGAAGTGCGTGCAGGGTCGGCTGCCTCCACCGAGCCTTTTGGAGAAGTTGGAGAATCTTCAACACCTCTCCATCGCTAATATTGGAGTCTCATCTCTTGAGCAGTTCCCTCGTCTTAGAAACCTTCAGAAGCTTATACTCTCTGACAATCGAATCGCTGGCGGTCTTGAGTTTCTTGTCGAGGCTGGTCTTGACTCGCTTCGCGACCTTGATTTGTCAAACAATCGTATCCAATATATTGAAGATCTTGCTCCACTTGCTCAGTTGAAGCTTATTTCTCTTGATCTGTATGAGTGCCCGGTAACTAGAGTGAAGGATTATCGATCTAGGGTTTTTGGATTGATTAAATCATTGAAGTATTTGGATAAAATGGATGCAGAGGAGAATGAGAGACCTGAATCTGATGAGGAGGAGGATGAAGAAGAGGAGGATGATGATGATCCTGGTAGTGGTGAGATTGATGGGGAGGAGAGACCTTATAGACTGAATAATGGGCATAGCGAAGGGGTTGAGGGGATTGTGGATGTGGATGAAGATGAAGAGAGTGATGCAGATGAGGAGGAGACAGAGACTGCTAGACGGACTGATGGCCCCAACCAGAATGGGTTTAGATTAGCAGCAGTAGAAGGAAGAGAAGGCGGGGATGACGATGATGAAGGTGATGATGATGAGGAAAATGAATCTGGAGAGGAGATTGATGAGGAGGGTGATGATGATGATGATGTTGTTGAGGTGCATGAAATTGAGGATAGTGATGATGAGGAGGATGGGGTTGAAGATGATGATGATGATGATGATGATGAGGATGATGATGATGATGAGGATGATGAGGAAGAGGAGGTGGATAATGATGAGGGTGATTTTGCTGAGCCGGAGAGTACAGGAAGGCTCACAAGTACAGAAGGTGAGATTGATGGTCATGAGCAAGGAGAGGATGATGGAGAAGAGGATGATAATGGGGAGACTGGAGAAGAGGAACAAGGCGTTGATGATGATGGAGAGTTTGAAGATGATGAAGAGGGCGAGGAGGTGAGATTTTCTAGGATGTCATGTGGTCATTTTATTGTTCTTGCTGCTATATGTGTGCTGTTTAGTTGGATAACTTTTTGGTGGCTACTGGTGTGCTTGATTGCTTTCTCATTCTTGCATGTTTGTCTATGTTTTGCATTTATTAAGAAATCTGCTATGATATTTTTACCCTTATTAGTGAACATGAACTCATTGCTATCCGTGAGATGTTCAATTTGCTGAATTTTTCATGATAAAAAAATTGTATTTCTTCCAGCAAAAATAGATCATATTGCATGTATAGGAGCATACGATATTCAAGAAATTTGGTTTTTTAAAACATTATGTTTTTAGATTCCAAAAACTAAAGCAAGAATTCTACTTAGAAAGATGTGAAGAAGAAATAAAGGAAACTTCTGTAATTTTTTATTAGTATTTTCTTTATTGTAGGAAATGTTTTGTTGACAATACATTTGCTTTTTGGTTACTGCGAAGTTAATTTTATGGTTTTAATTATATAAAAAAAATATTGCAATTTTTCATCTAACTGAATTCAAGTGACAAATTGTTCTTAGTTTTGGTTTTAACAGTGAGAATGGATAAGTCATCTTAGAGCCTATTTGTCATGGTGATTGAAATTGCATTATGGGGAAGTACCATTTTAGATGCTGTTGAGAAACAGCAGTTTTGGAGTTCTTTTTAGTTTTTTTGTGTAGTGTTTATAGTAGTAGATATAAAAATCACGTTAAGAACAAAATTTAATAACCTGTAATCAACATTTCAAGAGAGTGCTTTTTCCAATAGCAGCTCAAAATATAATCCCAAACACACCCTTAAACTGTTGATTCCTTTTTTAGTTTTGCAGACCCTACGTTTGTGAAATCCTGTCCCCAAAAGTTAAAAAAAAAAAAGAAAAAAAATTAAAGAAAAAAGAGACACTGTCTTGCCAGTTACCGATGATCTTGTCTCTACATGCAATGATTGGTTATGTCAATGTTTTTGTGTTGAAATGAATTTTTTACGTGTAGTTTTTGTGCTGTGGAATCTGTTTCAGTGACTGATGATGTTGGCACTGTTGGACATGACTAAGTGTACTATTTGTTATTACTTGATGGATGCTTTGCAGCTTAGTTCATTTAGAATCTTGATGTAATCTCTTGTGCTTGGCACTTGAATATATTTCATTGATCTTTTGTGCTTGGATGTTATATTGATATTATCTTGGAATTCATTTCTGGTAATTAACTGACAAGGATATCTAACTACAATGCCAGGATGAAGAAGACTCTGGTGCAGGATACTTGGTTCAACCAGTTGGTCAGGCTGAAGTGCATGATGCTGGAGGTAGTGATAATGAAATTGGAAATGAAGAAGATGATCATGAAGGAGAGGAAGAAGTTGAAGATGATGACGAAGTTCAGGTGTTGGCACCATCATCCTTGTCACACCATAAGAGGAAGAGAGACGATGAAGAAGAAGATGACGACGAAGATGATGGTGAGGATGATGAGGAAGATGTTGTTGAATATACCAAATCATCAAAGAAGAAGCATCATTAGCTCATTTCCAATCTGCTGAGTCCAAATGTGGTGTTAATGCTTTTGAAAGTATGGAAATAGAGGGAAACAAAAAAAAAAAAACCTTGTTAGATAGATTGTTTGGTAGACTGGTAGTGATTTTGGGAAATCTTGTTGGACAATGTTAAGAGGAAAAAGGAAAAGAAAAAAAAAAAAAAAAGAGAAGGGAACTGTACCTTTGGGTGGTATGTTAGTTCAAAAAGTTGTTAGTATATTTATAATTTTCCCGCTAGCCTTTCTTATATAGCCGTTAGTGATTGGTTAAATTCAAAAGTCAGTTATGAAAGAAGGTGGGAAGGAGTTTACTGCCCGCCCATTTTGTGCTCTCTCCTCTACTGGGGTCTCTTTCTAAAAGTCGACTAATTGAAGGGACAAAGTGGAAAAAAAACTAAACTAATCTATAACTGTGTGTATGTGTTTGTATTTCTTCAATTTGGCCAAGCTGTTTTAAAATTGGCCGGTTGTCATGGCTAATGATATTCTCCTGTGTTTCACCCAGTCCATGTGGGCTTTTAGAATTTGGCCCGGCCAAAAGCTTTTGTATCTTATTGCATTGTTTTTTCATTAGCTGGAGTTACTGGCTAATGAGCCTAATTATCTTTTCCACTTGTACAGAGATAAACATAAAAAGAAAAAGGGAAAAAAAAAGTGATGTCACGTGATATGGCGTCTGACAATTATATTACAAAAACAAGTTATTCGAGTCACGCTACAAAAGACTCAGATTCCGCTCCGCGTCCAACAAGGCACAAAGGGTTTCGCTTCTCCCTTTTATTTTCATTTTTTATCATTTCATTTTTTACTACTTAACAAGGGGACCTATTGTTTTCTATATATATATATATATATATATAATTGAAATCCTCTTGGTTAACTAAAGGCATAATATCAATTTTTTGGCTTAATTTGAATAAATATGCATTTGAAATAAAGATACATTATAACTAAAAAATCTTAAGAGCCAAAAGTTGTATGAACAAAAAATAAAACATTATTTTACAAAAAAAAATTTTAAAAAGCAAAGTACCAAACGGCAAACGGCAAACATTAGTACAATTGAATGTCGTTTAACCCCTTTGGTATTGTTATTATTTTTCTTTTTGGATTTTTCCCATAATTTTTTTTTAAAATCTATCTTTTAGCAAACAGCAACTTTGGTTTGGGGATGATTATAAGAAACAGTCATGGTCATTGTTGTGCAAGAAAGTACTTAAACTTGATTTTAATAATTCTTAGTTGGGAGAAGCATTGTGTTTTAGGGAGGTTTCGAGTTGGCTCAAATCATTACTGATAGTCTAAAAAAAGTGAAGATCTTAAGAGAGCAATGATATTTTTGTTATATTTGAGAACTAGACTGTTATTAACCTTTTTCAGAAAATAGGTTTATCCTTATATACAAGTTATTGGCGTCAGGTTAGTTACAAGAATTATAGGAGAAAGATATCCAGGCATTATCTCCTAATATCAAGTCCATACCTCTCTTTTTGCTACTTTTACGTGGTCCTAAAATCTCACTATGTTTGGTGCTTATCAGATGTTCCCCCACAGGTTGGATGACATTTATGCCGGAGCTTTTAGCTTTTACATCTTTGCTCGGTACTTGACGACTATTATGTGGAGCCAGTCCTGGAAAAGGAATGATATGTTCGAGCCTATTTTTGGGCCTGAATTTAGCCCATTTAGGTTGAGAGTTTCGGATTTTAGGCCTAAGGCCAAAAGTTAACCACAGGGAAAGGCATGTCATAACTACTGCTTTGATGCAGGTTATTTTTTGAATTTCAAAAGGTGACTCCTCATTTGCTATGTTGCTTTAGCTTCCGGCGATGGTTCTTGGGATTTCTATTGTTATATAAAGGCATTACCTGGATTGTCATTAACCGTTTTCAGGAAATGAGTTTATCCTTATATACAAGTTATTAGCTTCGGTTAGTTACAAGACTCAAGGGAGAAAGATATCTGGGCATTATCTCCTAATCTCAAGTCCATATCTCTCTTTTTGCTACTTGGGTTATTATGTGGTCTTGAGATCTCGCTAAGTTTGGTGCTTATTAGATGTCCCCCCACTGGTTGGTTGGCAATTATGTCGGAGCTTTTAGCTTTCAAGTCCCTGCTTGGTACTTGGTGACTCTTATGTGGAGTAGGCCCTCGAAAAGGAATTATATGTTCGAGCCTACTTTTGGGCCTGAATTCAACCCATTTAGATTAAGAGTTCCGGCTTTTAGGCTTAAGGCTAGTAGTTAGCCACGGGAAAAGGCATGTCATAACTGATGCTTTGATGGCGGTTGTTTTTTGAATTTAAAAGGTGACTCCTCATTTGCTGTGGTGCTTTAGCTTCCGGCGACAATTCGTGGGATTTCTATTGCTATATAAAGGCGTCATGTTCTTGCTTTGGGGCTTTTCGTGATTGCTTCCTTGCTTCCAACCTACTTTTGAAATCTCTGTTTTACTTCGATAATGCTTCTTTATGTTATTCAGGTAACATCCACTGCTTTTTCATTGAGGGTAACTTGTCGTTTTCCTTCTTTCCATACATTATGAATTCTAGTCATCAGTCCAAAGGTAAGGCCCTGTCGAGTTCTCTAGTCATGAGGATGACCAGATGGATTTAGAAGGGGATAACCATATTTTGGAGGTGGTGGACTCTAAGGATGAAGCTAGCTTAATTCAATAGAGACTGCAAGGGATCTCTTCTGTCAGATACGGTGGTGTAGACGCTCAAATTTTGCCCCAAAAGGACTTAGTAATGATAACCTATTTTTTGTGTGTAAATCAAAATCGGGATGTCTGATTACTATAGTTCTTGGACCGATGGTCCGTATTTAAGAAAAATGACTTGTTTGACCATTTTTACTTTTCCAAATTTCTAGGGGTTTTGCACCGAAATCGGGCTCGGGAAGCGCTGCGAGTTTGCTTGGGACGAGTCTTAGTGTATCCCCTCGTTTTGCGTGCTACCTAGACTGATTTAGTAAAAACGGGCTTGGGCAGATTTTGGGGCCCACCAATGGCATTCGCCACCTAAGCCCTAAAAGGCCACCTTATCTCCCCATTTGCCTATAAATAGGGCAATGGTTTAAGAGATGAAGGGAGGTTTTTGATCACAAGAGGGAAAACTCTTGCATTTTCTCCATTCACTTTTGGTTCAAGGTTAAATCTTGTGATTCCAACTTTGAATCTTAAGATTTATAATTTGTTTTGATAAAGAAAACTCCTCGAACTTTGTGATCAAATACCAACAAACATATTCATTTAATAAAAACTCAGAACATCAAACGAGGATTAAAGCTCTTGGAATCTTGGCTTTCCTTTTTTCGAATCTATAGATTTTTACTAAAACCAGGTATTTTTTGAGAGTCTCCCTTTATTTTCTTCATCTTTTTCCTTTTCTGGTGCAAGAAAAACATAATTTTTATATTGGTTGTGAGGAAAACCTGTGATCAACCAAGTTCTGTTGACCGAGACAGAAGTGGCACACGCCACAAGGTAATGGTGCCATGCCATTACGTATGGCGCATGCCACTAAGGCCAACCAAACAGAACAATAAACTTGCTTCTGGGCTTCTGATTAGAGCAACACCTGCATGCCATTACGTGTGGCACACGCTACTTCTAGTGGCCCATGGGTCTTTATTTCAGACCTCAGATCCTTTAATGTAGCAGAATAACTTTGATTCGGGATCCATTTGAGTTTAGCACTGAACCATTTTGCTTAGACTATGAATAAAACTCATTTATTTCCCTAATAATGAAATAAAGAATGGAAAATGGGTTGTGATACTCATAATTGTTTATCACCCATGATAAACAACAAATTCTTGAACCTCAAATTCCATTCTAACTTAAAGTTTAATGTTTGTATCTATTCTGCCATTTACTTTTATGCTTTTTAATTTCTGTCATTTAAATTTCCAGTCATTTACTTTATACTTTTTCTTTATTGCTTTATTATTCATTGTGCCAACCATTGATAACTAACCATGCTAACCTTATTTTGATTCTTTGGTACTAATGTCATTTTCTAGCGATATGTACATATTTGTTTCTTGCTATGTGTTACCTTATTCTTTATAAGGGTGGCCACTATATGATTTGAATCGATTTTTTGAATCGGATTAAACCAATTCGATCTATTTGGTTCAATTTTTGAGTTATTTGGTTAGGTTTGGTATGACATGAACATATATTTTGGTATTCGCTTATTGGTTTATTTGCATAGAAAGAAACCAGAATAGCCTGATTAAATCAAAAAATAAAATACAACATTTTAAGCTAACCCTATCTTATATATTTATCTATTTTTTTAGGTTTTCATGTCTTCACGTAAAATTGTTGACATCTACTCAAATTGTCTTCCAAAAGTCCCACTTAAAGACATAGTCTACGACCCATTTACAGACATAGTCTACGACCCATTTAAAGACATAGTCTATGACTCTGTGCTTCTTCTATGTAACTAATATCTCACGCCTATCTCCCTCCATCTCACTCATCTTGTTCTAAATTTCAAGTCTCCAACAATACTGCAGCTGCAAGTATTACTTTTCTATTATTTTTATTTTTATTTTTATTTTTTTTTGCTTTTGTTTTGTTATTTATTTGAGTTTTCTTCATGATTTTTCAATTCCCTAACACTGGTTATGCTTTCATTGATAAGAACAAAATCAACAAGTAGAATATATATTTATATATATTGTTTTCTTTTTCTGTTTCTTTATTAAGAACAAAATCAACAAGTAGAATATATATTTATATATATTGTTTTCTTTTTCTGTTTCTTTATTAGATAAAAAATAATGATTCAGATTACTGTGCATAATTGAATAGTCTGAACTGATTTGATTAGGTCCGGTTCGATTTGATTTCAATTCCTACTTCGGTGAGGTCGGTGTGCTATGCTTTTAACCTCGGTTTAGTCGGTTTGAGTTGATTTAGTCTAGTTTGAATCGAGCCAATCGAATGCTGACCCCTAATTCTTTATGATTGGTGTTATGCTTTATTCATGTTAAGCTTTATGTAAAGAATCCATAATGGGTCCTAATATTCGCTATTTGTATTATTTATGGGTTGGGAAATTTTAATGGGTTAAAGGGTAGATTGTAAATTAGTTGATAGGTTGTACTCTTTTTTCCTCCCTCCCTTTCTTTACTTGATTAGCATGCTATATTTCGGTATCAATGTGCTTGATTGCCACGTTCTCAAAAATGAATAAAAACATGTTTTGCATCTCAATTAAAGTTAATCATATTATCAAAATTGTGAATGAATGGTCAACGAAGGAGGCCCGTTTCTAACCGGGCGGTCTGGGTGCCTAACACTTTTTCAAGACCGTACCTAATTCCCTTACCCAGTCTCTAGTTAAAACTGAGCCAATCATTTCCAAAAAAATAGCTAGTTCGTGAAGTTTTTGCCAAAGGGGAGGGCAACTCCAAAAATAAAACTCTTACCAAAGTAAGAGCCTTTTTTGAAAACCCCTATT